AAAAAAAAAAAGAAAAAGAAAAATTTGAAAAGGGGGTAGGGAGCTAGTGAGAAAGCTCAGCATTCTAAAGCACCTAATCTTAGGCAAGCGCAGGGACTGTGGTTCCATCCCCAGCACCACATGCTGCGCCAGCCCAGCCCCCAGGGCAGGCAGGCCAAACCTCTCCCAAAAAAAGGCAGGGAGTAGGTATGTAATTCAATGAAAGGGCCCTGAATTTAATCCCTAGAACTGGAAAAACTACAAACAGCAAAATATAAATAAATAATAAAAGTTAAGTCCCGTAATCAATACAGAAGGTAAGTACCCATATTTACAAAACAGTGAAAAAAAGAACAGTACTGCGGTTTAGATAATTGTCCCCCCACAACCCAAATGTTAAAGGCTTTCTCCCCAGCCCATAGTGCTACTAGCAGGTGATGAAATCTTTAAGAGGTAAAGCTTAGTTAGAAGTTTTCCAGTCATGGGGAATGACTGGAGAAGACATATTTGGACCCAGCTCCCCACATGTGCATGCTGCTTGGCATGAAATAAGCAGCTTTCCCTACCATGTATTCTTACCATGATGTGTGTTCTTGCCACAATGTAGGACCTTGCCACAATCCCAAAACGACAGAAGTGATCAACTACCGACTTAAATCTCCAAAACTCTGAGCTAAAATTAACCTTTCTTCTTTTAATTATCTCAAGCACTTTTATTGCAACAGAAAGTTAAAGTACTCAACAAAAATTACATAAACAACCAAAAATATTTAACAATATACACTTATCATCAGACATAGTGACAGATGTCTATAATCCAAGCAGGATGATAGGAGGCTGAAACAGTAGGATTGCCATGAGTTCAAGGCCAACTTGGACTACATAGTGAATTCAAAGCCAGCGTGGGCTATCTAGTGAGTTTAAGGCCTGCCTGAACCACACAGAGACCTTTCCTACAAAAAATTATGTATACACTCTAACTTACTCATGACTAAAGAATTACTAATTAACATACTGCACCTTGGAAAGTGGTAAAGATTAATATGTGAAAAAGCCCAGTGTTTGTGATGATGTACAAAAAGTTCTCATATGCACTGAGAGAAACTTTGGAAACTGATACAACATTTTGACGTGCTGCTCCCCCCCCTCATGTGCTGAGACAGCAACTGAAACTGGGCATGGTGGGGCACGCCTATAATCCCAGCTATTGGGAGGCTATAAACAGGAGGATCACTGAGAGTCCGATCTAGTAGTGAGACCCTGAACACCCTGTAGAGCCTTCCCTAAAACACACACAAACACACACACACACACACACACACACAAAAACAAAAAATATATATATATACATATATATATGTATATATATACACACACACACACACATATGGACTACACCTACATTTTGAAGACATATTCCACTTTCAGGAATTTATGCATCAATGTCCTCAGTGAAATATGCAAAACACATATTCAATGACACTAAAGCAATATCTGTGAAGTAGAAACAAGAAACTTGAATGCCTATCACAGATGCCCCACCCTTCTTAGACACAGCTGTGGTGTCTCAGAGAAACTGATTCACAATGGTGTTTTTCTTGCTTGCGCCCTGCCAGGGCGCTTGGGTGACGTCATTTCCGCCCTTGCCCCAAGAGCTGCTCAGGCGCGAGCGGGGCGCGCACTCGCACAGGCAGGCGCTGGACAGCCCGGGGCTCCCCTGGCGACGCGGCGCTGGCCTCGTGGTCAGCAGGTGGCTCCACAGGGCCCGGTTCGAAGACCTCCACCCTC